GCTTTGATATGAGGCGGGGAGGGGGGCGGGGGGGTGGGGCGGGCGGCGGGGGGGGGTGTGGGGGAAGAGAGCACCCCCCTCCGCCGCCTGCCAGCCCCTGGAGCGGAGACCCCTTCTTTTTACTTCCCCAGTTAAATCCGAGGCGGCGGCCGAGGAAGAGCCCCCCCTGCAAGGCCGGAAGGACGTCGTGGAAGAGAAGGGCTGCCCCCACTTTGGCCTTCCGAGGAGTGGCTTGTCTCTCGGGGCCAGAGAATCCGGGTCCAAGCTGGGGCTCTGGGTCCCGTATTCGGCCGGTGAGGCAGAGACCGCGGAGGGCAGGGTCTGGGGGCACGTCCGGGGTGGGGAGGCCGCCGTCTCCATCCCAGAGTCTTGCGTTCTCTGCTTGAGTGACGCATCGTGTGCGCGCGTGTTGGTACACGAGGAACAACAGAGGTGGAGATGTGGAGAAGGACGGGGCACAAATGCATGTGCCGAGTGGGCTGGGGGAGTGAAAAAAAAGCCAAGTTGACCGCCCCCGCATGCAAGACAGCAAAGCCGGGGTGGGATGGGAAACCTGAGCTGAAACACGGGGAGAGGGAATATCGGGGGTCAAACCAAGATGGATGGAGGCACACACAGTGGCAGGTGTGAGAGGAAGCAGACCGTGATGGGAGTTTCAGTCATAGGAACTCGAGAAGGGAAGCCAAACCCAGGCAGATGCTGGAGAGAGGGGAGAAGAGAGAGCAGGAGCTGGTCCAGATTTCTCCTGCCTCTGCCCAGCCTGGGGGCCATGTCTGGGTTCGCCTGGGGCCCCATAGTGAGGGACAGTAGGAGAATCTCCCTCTGCTTCCCAGTTCTCTTCCCTCCAGGCCGGGTCCCAGCCGTGGCTGTCTGATGGAAGCCCCACTGACGCCACGTGCCTCATCCTGGGTTCTGCTCCTGCCCCCAAAAGAGGCCTTCAGCGAGCCCTGAGCCCTCCTTGTTGAGCTGCCCTTTTCTTCTTCCTACGCAGACTGGAGCCCAGCTACCAGCCCTCTCCACGGGTTGCTGAACTGCTTGAAGGACATCCCCGTCCCCAGACCGCTTCCTTCCAAAGTCTTGGCGGGCAAGAGAGGAGCAGCGGGGGAGAAGGAGAGGCGAAAAGGGGGAAGAAGAGGAAGGATCGGTAGGCCTGGGGCTGGGGAGGAGATAGTTACGCTGGCTCACACTCGAACGGACTAGGTGGAACGTATACCGAGGCCCATTCTTGCTCAGAGCTCCAAAGTCCAGCACCAGCCATGTGTCTCACTCTTCCCCAGACTGGAGCTCTCCAGATGTTGCGTTAGAACTGCCGTCATCCCCATCCAGCAGGACATACTAATTGGGCATGATGGGAGTTGTTGCCTAACCTACGTATCTAGAGGAAGAAACTGAGTAGTTCTTGGGGGCTTCTTCCACCAGCTGTGGTTGGAGTCGTGCTCGGCTCCTCCATGGATCATGGCCAGGAGGCACGTGGCCTTCCGCCTGGCCTTTCTTCATGTCAGATGACATCAAACATACAACATTGTTACCCAAGTGATGTAATGCATGCCATGACATCATACGAATGATGTCACAGTGCGCATGGCATCCTTGTGGCCTATGATCTTGTTCTGCCTTGACCTCCCTCATCTCCAGCGTCTAAAGGGAAAATCCAGGATCCTTGGGACGCAAGGATCTGATATATTTAATCTGTCCAGCACCAGGAGCAACGGCTCTGGGTTCAAAAAGAACTTTTTTTGGTTTAAATTATTAGCTTAAGATGCCAGAGACGCCATTTAGGGGTTTGAAGAACACTCTCAGCTTCAGGGATGTCTCCTGAGGCTTTCGAGAGGCATAATATGCATTTTTAAATCTCCAAGGCTAGTAGCATCCGTTGATGTCTGCGGGGGCAGCAGGGCTCATGGCAAAGCGTGCATCACCGCATCATGATGCGGATTCTGCCTTTTTGTACTTGCACACAAGTCCTCAAGTGCCAGAGCGTGCTCTGTGGTGCCCCAAGGCACTTTGCTCAGGACAAGCCTGGTCGTGTTCCTAGTACGTTGCTTATCTAAGGTGGTGGGCCAGCAAACCTTCACAAAGTCCAGTCACTGGCACATTTCTACATCAGAGCATATAAAAACAGCTGCTTGCCTGTCTGTCTGAGCTTCACACGCACAAGGAACTGAAATGACTTCTCAAGGAGGCCTGGGAGATCTGATGGAAACCAGGTGGCTCTAACCCTTGGCTCTGCAGCAGAGAGCACTCAAGCTGCCAAGCGTCCAAGCTGAGCCCAGATTCAGTGGGGCTGGTCCTTCAAATGCCTTTGGGAGCAGCATCTTAAACTAGAGTTTTAAGCAATCATGCTGGCATTGCTAGGTTCCTTCTAATGGAGGACAGCACCCGAACACATTGTCTGCCTCTGCTTCCTCTCCTTGTTTCTTGGCAGGCCCACCTCCCGGTGCTTTTCTTCCACAAGGACCAGAAGCTGGCCTCGGGGAAAAGCCAGCTCAGCAGCCTCTCCTGCCCCTTGGATATACCAACGGCACCCGTGGGAGAGACCCGGGATGGCAGAAGTTGGAGACCACGATGGTGCAAGAAGGTCAGGAGGCGCTGCTTGCTCCATAAACAATACGAGGCTTCAAGCTCCAGTTCCTTCAATGGCCTGTTGGACTTGGAGGGTTTGTGAAATAAAACCATGCAGGGACCGAGCAAAGCCGTTGTGGGCGTCGGGTCCCTTGCCTGGGAAGAGTCATGTTCTCCAAGACCCGGAACAGCTCTCCAAACTCTGGGGGCCAAACCTGGGCTGTGTTTGCTGTGCTCAAGTGCAAACTTGTCAACCCATCTCTTAGACTGTTTATGCAAACTCGGTTTGGGTGGTCAGTGTTTCATGAATTGGTGGGGTCTACAATGGTTTCACAAGGGCACCTCCTGAGAATGAATCTCCCGATGCCTTCTTAAAAGAAGTTGCAGGAACGAAAACCCCATTTGGATCAGGAGGCAGAATTTAAGGTTATTCATCTGTATCTTGATCCCAATTGTAACAGTCCTTCTCCCCCCACAGAGTTAGAGTTAGTATTTTCAAGGATGGGGGATCAACCTTGGTTTGCTTGTTCAAGCTGGCTCTTGGGTCCCACTTCCAGGTTGGTCTTCCATCTTGGGGGGCTGGCTGCGTAGGAACACTTGCTGCCAGTAAGCACAAGATCCGTGTTTTTCAGTTCTCTCTCTTGTCTTGGGGGCTGATGCTCGATTTACTTGGGCGATGGTCTAGAATGCTCTCGTAGGTGTCTGGCAGAAGCCACAGTGATGTGGTGTGTGCCATGGCACCCTTGTGCAGAGGACTCAGGTTGCGGCATTTGCACAAGGGTGGCATGACGCAGTGGCACCTCTGTTCCCCGTTGCCTCCCCCAGATGCTCTGTTAGACCTACACAAATGTCCAAAAATTAATCCTTTGGGTTTGGAGGCCGGCCCACGAGAAAATGGTGTCACGGTTGCTTCACATCTTTGAAGGGGAACTTTGTTCTGAAGAAAAGGCCTGCCCGTAGAGTTTGTCTGGGTGGTCTGCTAGATATCTAGCCTACCTTTTTTCCAGGAGCGATTGCCCCTTCAGCCTTTTTCAGCCTGTGAGGTAGGCTGGGCTGGTTGCCCAAAAGTCACCCAGGGAAGTTCCGTTCTCGAGAGTGGACTCGAGCCCCCCTCTCCCCAGCCCTAGCCCCGCAACGAAACCGCTGTGCCTCTTGGCTCCGCAACGATGCTCAGCCTCTGTGCTCTGTGACCCACAGGTCTTGGCATCCCTTTGCAAGGCCAGGAGGGGGACCTGAAGCAGCGTCTTCCGAGCGCACAGATGCAGCCCTGTTCCCCCGCCGTCAGCTCTTCTATCAGCAGCTCCCCAGACAGGCTTCCCTGGTGGACTCCAGAGCACAGCAAATGGAGGAGGAAGGAAGATGGTACGATCCCACTGGGGCCTGGGGCAGTGGGGTGGGCCCTGACCTCTGGGTGGGCGTCTCTTGGCGGAACAGCTCCCTTCAGCTGAGGCTTCTGGTTGCGATCTCCAGCAGGCAGCAGTCCTTCCCCTCCTGCAGACAGCCAGGTAGCCCTCCATGGTAGGTTGGCTGCCAACTCAAAAGTTGCCAAGGTGCCTGGTAAACCCTGATGCAGCAGGAGGGAGCATCCAGAACAGTGGGTTTTCGCTGCCGGTAGAGGGAAAAAGGAAGGCCCCAATGCCAGACATGGTTGGCCAAGGCAGCTTGGCATCTTCACCTGCCTATTTTCTGCAGAGCTTGGCCAGGCCCACAGTCCTTTGCAGAGTCTCAGGAGGGGCTTGAAGGAGCGCCCATTGAGTTTGCACAGCCAGGCCTCTTCGCCAGCCACCAGCAGCTCCCCCGACGGGCTCCAAAGGTGGACGCCAGAGCCAACACAATGGGCCAGGAGAGAGGAAGGTGAGAGGCTTAGAGGCTCAGGTCTGATGGGGTCCCAGTTGCCAACTTACATAAGGACTTGTATTGGCCTCCCCCAACTCCATAGGACTCGGTCAAAATAGCACCCCCCTGCAAGGCCTGGAGAAGTGCTTGAAGGACATTCAGAACCAGCGATGGTCGCCAGCCGTCAGCTCCTCCCTCAGCAGCTCCCCAGACCGACTCCGCCAGTGGACACCAGAGCCGGTGCAATGGGCCAGAAAGGAGGAAGGTGAGAGGCAGCTCTGTGCCCCGCCCTCCCCAGTGGAGAGCTCTGGCCATGGGGAAAACGGTGCTGGAGATGGTCCTGTAGGCTGACCCCCGTGGGCTGGCGGGAAGGGAAGGATTCTGTGCAGCTCAGCTGCCCTCCAAGTCTAACCAGCTACCTATTTAGGGCTGAGCCCTGTTGCTGTGGCACTGAATCCCTGCATCGGGCAGTGCGGCCATCTGGATTCTTCAACTCGGGGGTATCTGTGGGGGAACAAAACAGTCAGGGTGGCAGCCATAGCTGTCTGCTCAAGTCCTGCCCTTTTTGACCCATGGAAGTATGTTCACTCGAGAGGAGGCTGGCAGCGCCTGCTGGAGCATCCTGGGGGAGGGGGGATGAGTGCAGTGGGCGCTCTGCCCGACAGACTCACGCAGCGCCATTGGCAGAAGATTCTAGGACCTTTCATGGCCATATCAACGGAGAGAGGAGGACCATCTTACTTGCCCTTCCATTTTTGGGGGGTCTTGCCTGACCTCCTTTGATCTTTTTTCCTAGCTTTTGCTTAAAAAGGAGAGAATGGACAGAACGCAAGGGGCCACATAAACAAATTGCATAATTTATTCCCAAATAAAAGGGGACGCTGTGGGTTTGCGAACGGTGTGTTTCAAACGATAGCAGCAACTTACTTTCTGCAAACAGGAGCAAGTCCCCTGGGGATCCCACCCCTTCAGGGCCTGGAGAATTGCCTGAAAGAGATTGCCCGCAGCAGAGACTTCCTTCCAGACGCCAGCCCTGCAGGGCGCAGCGTCTGTGCTCAGAAACAGCAGGGAACAGAGGCCGAATCACCGAGACCCTGGCCAGGAGGTAAGAGGAAAGGCTGGGAGGAGTCTTGGTCTGGGAGGTTGACGAGAGCTGGGCATAATGTTCTGCCCGGGCATCCGGCCCTCCGTGATTTCTCCTGGCCTTCTCAGGAGAATCGACGCTGGGTACATAGGCGGGAAGATGGAAATCTGATCTCCTCAGTGGATGCTCTCAAGCAGCCTCCTGCAGCCCTCGTGGCGCATTAGACTAAGACTCTCTTGTCTGCAGTGGCAGGGAACTGGGAAACCCAAAGGAAATTCTGGCCAATGAATTTTTCATTAATAAACAAGAGAGACAAATTAGAAAGAAAAGAAGGTGGCTAGAAGATGAAGGAGGCAGTTTACAGCAATGCAGTCGGAAAAGTAAGAGTTCTTTGTGTGCCAGGGCGGACCAACTTTTTGGAGAGGACAGCTTGGCCCGGTTTGATACCATCCAGTGACCCAGCTTCGGCCTCATTTTCAGAACTGACGGAGGCCTGCTTTTCTCTTTCTCTGCAGAGAGCCTTCTGCAACAGTGTGCCCCGAGCATCTCTGCTTCCACATCCATGGAAGCAGCTGCCGAAAATTCTCCCCTCCACAGGCTGATGAACTGCCTGAAGGAAATCCCCACGCAAAGGCCAAGTTATCTCAACACACCAAGTGTGTCGTCAGCATCGTCATCCTCCTCCTCCTCCTCCTCTTCCTCCTCCTCCAGCTGCAGTGAAACTGAAAGGGACCAGCAAAGCCCAGGAAGTACAGCGTGGTGGGACTGCAGCCAAGGTTGGCACCAGCTGCCAGATGGGCCTGATATTGGGCCTGGAGAGGCACTGGTGTTTAGAGGAGTGAAAGTGGGAGGTTCCTTTTGGGGAGAAGACTGTTCCAAAATGAGTCTCTTGAGGCCAAGACCTTCTCTCAAGGTCACAGGGAAAGGGAAGGGGTGATACGTCAGAGGACGGCGAGCATGAGAGATGAGATCTTCCATCTTTGACACGTCCAGTTATACAGTTTCTGTACTTTCTAGACATGTTCCAAGGATCCGAGATGGATGCCCTTGTGGGAGAGAAGGTGACGATGGAGTCCAAGAGGAAGCATCCATCCGTTCACCATCCTCCAGAAGAGGAAGAGAGGTTGCCCTCCACACAAGAGTCCAAGTTTGTTGATGTGGGTGATAAGGCACCCTCTGCCTCCCTGCTTGGCAACCTGGAGAATGATGCGAAGGACACGGTGGTCAAACAGATGCTTTCCTCCAGGGACCCTCCTCTTTGCTCCAGAGCTCAGCAGGATGCGACATCCGGGGCATCCGAACCAAGGGATGATGGGGCACCTTCTGCACGTATGTAAGATGGAGGTGACTTCTTATGACACTGAGTTGATCTCTTAGGGGACATAAACCAGGGTTTTGGGTCAGAACCTGTACTGGGGTGGGCGGGTTGCTGGAGTGCAGATTCCTTTGGAAAACCTCAGCGGCCCTGAGGGTGTAACCAAGAAGGTGCATTCTGCATGGCAGCCAAAGTGCAGGCGAAGTGAGGAATCATCTCTGAGACTTGTGGTGCCAAGCACGGCAGCAGCTCGTCCTGTGTGCTTCACTGGAGTTCCTTCCTTCCGTTGCAGCTCTTGCAGACAAGATCTTTACCCACGAGCTGCAGAAAGGCCCAAGAGACCTAGCACTGGTCCAGACCCCAACGTGTTCCAGCATGCCAGCCCCCGAGTCCCCTGATAGGACGCCCGAAGGTGGCACAGACTGGAGTCTGGCGGAAGCACAGGTCCAGCCGCAGCCTGGCCCTAAAGGTGGGCAGCCTCAGCTGAAGAGGGCCGCCCTGGCCAGCCCAGTCGGCCCCCTTTTTATCGTTGATCTCTGACACCGATTTGCTTGCTCCCTACTCAGTGGAGTCCAGGCAGCCTCCAGTGTTAGAACCAGAGCAGGGCATATAACAAAAGCCGTGGCTTCTCCACTACTGACTTTACGGAGGGGCCCCTGTTCCCAAAGCCCCGTGAGGATGGACTGTTTGCACCCCCTTCCCAAGGGGGGGGCATCTTACCCTGGAGGGCACACTGAGCAGGCTGCCTTCTTAGGGGCCTTGTTGTTCTTTGTCTCACGGGGGTGGGTATCCCCAGCCCCCCCACAGCCCCACTGCATGCAGATTCTACTGGGAGCAGGCGGTCTGGCTGGGTGAGGAATCGCAAATGCAGAAGTCCTTCCTTCGGGACCAGCACGGAAGCACTTCCCAGCCTTGTCCAGAGCCATCACCCTCCCATCTTCTTGGATGCAATTTCCAAGCTAGAACCAAGGGAATCTGGAGGTGGCGGCTGCCAGACCAAGACCATGGCAAGCCCAGATAAACATCCTCCCTTCCAAAACGTGGCATCATGACTAATCAGGCCAGGCCTGCCAAAGGAGGTCTGGACAGGACTAAAGCCTTAGACAGGCAGAAGGCCTTCAGGGAGAGCCTGTGGATTCAAAAGAAGGATTCGGAGGGAACGGAGGGCAAGCAGGGCAGAGACTAGAGCAGGTAGGACATTGTGCAGGGAGACTTGCCAGCTGTACCTGCAGTGGCCCCGAGTGCAAAGCCTGCTCCCCTTTTGGTGGGAGAGGGTGCCAGTGTACGGCACAGTGGGCGAAGTTTTCTGGGAACGGCTTGGTGAGGAGAGAGGGGGCATTAATTGGAGTCTGTCGCCAGGCAGGAGCACAGCTCGCAGCCGGTCTTTCTGCATCAGCCAACTGCAGGTTGGTCTCTCTCTTTGCCCAGAGGGGGGGACAGAGAGCAGCCCCCTCCAGGGCCTGCTCAGGTGCCTCAAGGAGATCACTTACGGGAGCACCAGCCCCTGCAGCCCTCCGGCCAGGAAGAGGCCCAGAGAGTTGAGGCATGGGCAGCCGCAGCCGGAGGAGGAAGCGGCTGATTCCAAAAAGAAGTCCTGGGAAGGTGAGTCTCGCCGGCCCTCGTTTCTGCACCCTGCGCTGGGCAACTGCCAAGCCCTTGAATCAGACGGTGAGCTGGAGGCTGGCTTGGGAGAGCCCTGGGACTGGTGTGCCTCCCGGCCTAGCTGATGGGGAAGACGGCTCCCCCGAGGTTCGTTTTTGGCCCCTAAGGAAGCACGGCAGCGGCTGCCAGGAGTCTTCCCAGAGAAGAAGACTCTGGATGTCAGAGACGATCCTCTTGCCGGGGTGCAGCTGTTGGATGGAGATGAGGGGATTGGTAATCCAGCACATCTTGGGATGGGTGCCGGGCTTGGGAACACTGGTAGAAGGGGGATCAAGATCGTGTTCCCAGCAGGCGCCCTCCGTGTTCTGGCTCCTGCGCCTGTCGAGTCACAAGCAGGCATCTTAGCAGCAGGTCATTCATTCATTCATTCATTCATTCATTCATTCATTCATTCATTCATTCAAATGTATTATAGCCGTTCAACTCAACCAGCGATGGGCGTGGCATTGCTTCTGGCGGAGGACAGGAGAATAAATCTCCCCTCTTAAAGGGGGTTTGCAGTGATGAGACCTGGCTTTAGGGCCAGGTTCAGCTGGAGTCCCAGACAGCGATGCTCTTTCAGTTCTGCTCTTTGAATTTGTTCAAAGGCTCACCAAGGGTGATGGGGCTGTTTACTTCTGCTCCCCAAACTTGGGGTTGTAGCTTTGTGAAACCTCTGACAATCTTCCACATGACTATAGGCTTTTAGGATATGATCCGAACAAGTTACTTCTTGAGTAACTTCTCTTTCTTGCTTTGCCTAATCCACTAACCAACGTGCAGGCTATAGAAAAAGTTACCTGTTGAAAGCCACCATGCTTGAACCAAGGTATGAATGCAAAGGCCCCATATGTGGCAGGAACCCAGGCCACAGGGCTTTCTTCTGAAGGCGGAGGTGCAGCCTCTGCTTCTTGCACCCTGTAGGGCAGTTTCTCAACCTTGGCAACTTTAAAATGTGTGGACTTCAACTCCCATTCTGGGAGTTGAAGTCCACGCATCTTAAAGTTGTCAAGGTTGAGAAACATTGCTGTAGGGTAATTCAGGTCATCAAGAGCTTAATCGTATTTGGCTTTGATCAACCCAGGGAAGTATTTAGGGACAAACAACCCTGTCAAGTTAACCAGACTGGGTCTCTCTGTGTCTAAATAGGAGCTGTGCCCTCAAGCCCTGCAGTCTGTGGCGTGGAAACGTGCCCCCAGCGGAATGGCCATGCATGCCCACTGAGCACAAGGTCCTCTGCGCACAAGCGGGACCCTCCAGGGAGGAGCAACTCTGCCTCGCTCAGGACGGGAACCAAGAGAGCGCCCGCAGCGGGTGAGGCGAGAGACTGAATGCAAGCGGGGAAGCGGGGTGGGCAGCCGGCCTCCCCTTTGAGCCCCTGGCCAGGCTGAGGCCCATGGCCACGTGCTGGGGAAGGGGGGACAGGAGCCACCGGTAGGGGAGGGTCCCGGATTGTGGCGGCTGCTCTGGAGCGTTTTGCCCATTCACGGGAGCAGCAGGCAAAAAACCGGCGGGAATGGCTGCCAGTTGAGTGGGAGACATTGATGGGGGGCGACTGCTGGGAGAAGGGAGAGGTGGAGGGAGGGGGGCTTAAAGCGGTCTGAAGGAGAGGTGGGAGGAACCCAGATGTTCAGACCGAGCAGGGTCCTGCTCTGCAAAGCAGGTCTGCCGTG